GACAAAATTCTGGATACGCGCCTGCGCAGGAGTGTCATTGTAGGATCAAATAGTTTTCGTCAATGAGACATTTACGTGCATTTTGCAATTGTAAAGAGGCCGCAAAGGGGGGCCATGCCATCACCTTATTTAGCGAGTGGTTCTGCGCAGTGACAGGCGGCGTTGCCAACGCAGGCAAAAGTAACTGATTTCTGTGGAGCTGGTGTGCGTAGCATACCCACCACGGGCACGTTATACAGGGTGTCCCAGGATTAAGTACGAATATTGAAGGAATCGCGATTCTTTGGGTTGAAGGAAGACGTTTCTGTGGCAGGGCCGGATTAAGGGGGTAGCCACATGGGCCGCGGCCCATGGCGGCAAATCTGAGGGGCGGCAAAAATTTGCAATGGTTCAAAGTGTAGGTATAAAAAAAATCGGATTCATAAAAACAAAATTACAAACGAGAAAAGGTGACAAAATTTCTCATTTCCTGAGAGTATAGTAATTTCTAATTTGGTCGTCTCTTAGTGATACAAGAGACAGCACCTTCAATAAGGCGAGTTAAGAGAGAGACCGAACACGCAATTTGGCCTGGAATGGCGCGACTTAGAGAGAAATGATAACGAGGACTTGAGATGAAAAGGAGAAGCCCTCGGTGCGGCGATCGGCATGTAACACATATTAGCGCCTACAAGACTGCACGAATACTTCACGCATTGCGCCAAACACATTGCGGTCAGCGTGAAACGCATAGCGCCTACAAGACTGACGGAATACTTCACGCATTGCGCCAAACACGGTACGGTCTGTGCGGCGCGGCGGCGGAAGTTAAATCATTGATCCACATTTATGTTTGTTCTCTCATGATTTTTTCGTTCATTTCTTATGAATAGAAGGCCTTGCCCACACAGAGATAGGTTTACGGAACTTAACTTTCGCGCAAAGCTCCGTGAACTTTTGCTAGTAGTGTTGACAGGGCTTTCCCAAAAAATGTGTTCAACACGAGTGAATGCGTCTTATGCACCCCTCCCCCGCTGACACGTTCATTTGATGGTTTTTATCGAGTTTCAAAATGAATGAGAAGGGGGCGGCAAAATACAGGCGGCCCATGGGCGGCAAGTAGGTGAATCCGGCTATGTTCTGTGGTAAAACTTTTTTTCTAAAAAAACTTTCCCTAGGGCCCCATTATTCCCCTATTATCCCCCTATTATCTCCTTATTATCCCCATTTCATCCCCCATTATCTCGAACTCTATGAGTTATAGAGAAAAAATGTAAGAGACATGTTCTCAATACTTTTCAACGCTAAGTCCAAAACAGGTGCCGTCAAAAATCAATTTTTGTCGCTAGAAACATTAATTTTGATCACTTTTAGGTTCGATACCTACTTGACCCCCCCCCCCCCACAATGCATTATCCCTTATTTGGAGGTGAAAAATGAAAAAAGTGCTAAAAATTACCTTCATTTACCAATTTTCATCAATATTGGTTGATAAACAGTGTCACAGTGTTTGAAAGACGATTTTTTTCCTCCAACTTTAGGGGGCCGTGGCCTCCAGGGAAAGCGTTTTTGGAGGACACGTTATACCACGAAAACGTCTTTTTTTGACCCAAAGAATCGACTCCTTCAATATTCATACTTAATCCTGGGACACCCTGTATGACGGATTGTCCAAGTACTATGCTATCTCGGGAGCGGCAACTGTGCTGGTTAGTGACTTGTCTACTTGACGACACTGAATTAATTCATCGTGTCTCGTACATTACGGAACGTCATTGATGGTCTCAGGTTGTCAAATTTAGAGACGATACTGAGACTGAGATACGAATATTTTGTCACTCTAAAGGTGATTTTCGCAACAAAAGAGTGATAGCATAGGCCAGGAAGTATAGAAGGGGGGGGGCGTTGACTGACTTTTCAGAAGATCCGGGAGAATGATTCTGTAACAACTCGCAAATGGAGCGATCCTATTTATGAGTCGCTGGTGTTACTGAAGTAGTCAGTGATCGCGATAAGTTGCGATCTGATTTATCGCGAATTTATCGCTGAAAAAAATTTATCGCGAAAATTTCAGTAAAATCGCGGTTTCATCGACGGCGATGTATCGCAATATTATCGAAATGCCTCTCGGTCGCATGAGAGTTGAGTTTGAATCTGGGTTCAAGCGCTTGTACCATTTACCTACAAACAATCAGTAACGAAAAAGCTCCCCTAAAGCTGTTCTCCTTTGAATTTTTCTTTTCTATTTCCCGCCCAAGAAGACAAAAATAAGGAGAGAAAGGAGACAAAAAACAAGAATAGATAGAGATAAGGATAGAAAGAGGAAGAGGACGAAGAAAAAGGGGAAGAAGAACAAGAGGAAGAAGAGAAGAACTTTTCCTTCTGAATAAAAAGAGGATCTTGATTTGATCAGATTTACTGTTACTAAACGATAAATGCGCGATACATTCAACCTTCATACGATGTTTAAAAAATGTCATTGAAAATTTGAATACGTTGACCCGATTCTAACAACATAAGTAGTTCTCGTGTCTGCAACAAATTCTCTGACAGAGACTGTCCTACTGGGACTAGGATGGGGATGGGATGAAATAATACCACAATTCGACCACGTGGGAGTTATTTTGCCTATACTCAAAATTGAAGGCGATCTGGTATGGCGGTGAAGAGCCTCTTCTCGATGGGTAAAAAACAATGTATTGAAAGTGATCGAAGTGAGCGTGCCATTTCAAGATGATACCACTATTCGACCATTTAGGAACGTGTGTTGCATACACTAGATATTGAAGGCGAACCAGTACGGAGTTAAAGTACCCTCTTCCGGTGACATAAAAAAACGATTTTTTGAGTCTCCTGATTCCGCCGTGTTTAGGGAAAACGCCGCATGGACAACTAGACTTTACCAAATTTCTGACGATGAAAATCGAACACTGAGGATTTATTGCCTCTGTATAAATTTTTCCCAGAATTTCAATCACAATATAATCCGCAGAATCTACAGTTTTCATCCAAAAAATTCATAGATTTCTTAAAATTGAATATTTTACTAGAGGAAATTTGGAAACGTTCAAATTTACGCACGCCTTTTTCTCTTCGTAAGCTGCAGAATTCGCGACATTTGCATGCGCAGAAACCTTAATTGTAACAAATATCGATG